CAATTCCTAGCACCAATGCAAGCACAGGGCCGCCAACAAACCACCCTGACCAAGGACAGCGGCGCCTTCGAGTTCTCTGTAAGTCTGGCTTTCATCCATCTTTGTCTTAACAGCTCACGAATAACCCTTGCAGGTTCCTGTGGAGGCCAGTTACATGAAGGCTATCAATGACACTGGGGCGAAGGTGGACTTTACATTTGGTTTGTGATCCGCTATCTTTTCCTTTTATTTGACCTCAGTGAATTCCGCCTCCAGACTTTAAGACAACCGAAGCGTCGTTGCCTACGCCGATGTTGTACTACAACAACGTTGAGTCCGTCATCTTCCCTCTATTTTTCCCCCAGGGAACTCACAGTGTAACACAGAAAAAAAAAGTAGCATTACCCCCGCGGTATGATCTAAAGCTGCGCGCCTACGTTACCTCAGATTATACAGAGGGCCAAATCTTGCAAGGTGAAATTACAGTCCCTGTGTTGTGGGAGGTGGATCTTGCCGAACTTTCTGAGACCACCACCTGGAACCTCACGTGGGATGCAAGCGCTGGACATTACAAGATCACTAAGGCGTGAGGAGGGAACTTTGGAATTGGCGCACTGAAACATCTGTTGTCTGAGGTTAGTAGCTTGAATTTGGTAGCAACTTCATTTGGAACCCTGACATGCCGGGTTACTCAGTCGCTGGTCTTGTCAAACGTCACTCGTGACTCGTGTGTTGGCTACGAATTGTACAATGTATCGCGTTGTTGAATCAAGTTTTGCCTCTATTCGTGACATCCCATTGAACAAGATCTAAGACATTTCATTGAGTACTATATAGTCAGCTTCGCTGTGCTTCTAATTGATTCTTTCCCCCACCGTGTCTGCGTGCTGTTCAGTCCCCTCGGCTATCCACGTACTGCCCCTGCCAAAATAGAAATGTACTTCATTGCTCAGTTTCTCCTTGTTATCCTTCGCTACCTTCGGAATACTGGGGATATGAACACATAGCCATCCCCATCTCACCCGGACTACGACACCATGGAATCAAACAATGTTGTTGAATCGACTGTGTCCTTATGTTCGTATGTTACTTTCATGCAAAAAAGTCCACCTGACATGCTCACACCGGGAATGAAGGTCACTTTTATCTTCCCTCCTGCTGCAGTAGGAAGTTCCATCTCAGGCCGCAGCTGTGATCTCTTTGTGAACATCTTGTTGACTTTGTAAGTACACAATGCTGGAAAACACCGTATTTCGCTCATGCACTGTAAGTGCTGTTACTGTCAGGCTCGGTATATTTCTGGACTTATCGTGCGGAATTGTGCTTGTCTGTGTGATTTATGTAACTGACGTCTTTTGAACCCATTTGTAGCACGTACTCGGCATGTACTCGGGCTTGCCAATGTTCAAGAGCTACGTGCTTGGGGTAACTAACCTCCTGCCCCCGCTTTCAGACCCAAAATTCGATTTCGACTGCTGCATGTGCCAAGTTGCCAACATGCTATGTATTATCGTGCTGTGGACCATCAATGCTAATTTTCCCCACTAATATCGATGCTCTGAGTTCTCATTTTCAATTGTTATCGCGATGCAACTTACCGCAATGCTACTGCCCTTCCTTCAACAACATGATTATGCATACTATTCCTACTGTATCATTTCAACTCCTCCTGTAGACTCCTGTCCTGGTGTGAGGTCCATAGTACATTGTCAATAATCATTTCATTTACCATCAACCGAGAACCATGTGTTGGTATAGTTGGTGATGTAATGGAACATTTCGAGTCCCAGCAACTTCAGACGGGATAAAAGGTTGGTATTCTGAGTCTAGTATGACAGTCACCCGAGTTTTTACTGAATCTAAACAATCACAACTTGACAAGCGAGTCTTCGGCAAACATAGGAAAGTGTTTAAGATACGAAGTGACCATGATAAATATCGAGTGAAATTGAAGGGGTATCTTGACCACCATCTGAAAACAAAGCTTCGCCACTTCAGATATGTACAGATACTAAATGAAAGACCCGATCAAAGAGGAGCTAACCGTGCTTCTGTCTTCTATAAGCCATAACCATAAGCCTTTACTCGACAACTGGTGAAGTTTCAAGAAAACTCACTTGTTGGCTTGTGGATTGACAGGCTTGGCCTTGCATTTTGTAGGCATGAAATTAGCTTCATCGTTTTCTTTACCTTCTGTAACCCCCGCCATAGCGCAGATACGTGCATTGGAAGATCCAATGACATTGAGTGCCTGTTCACATTTCGATGGGACATGTTGGTGCGTTGTGACAATCATATCAGCGCTAGGCGCGTATGAGTGTCATAGGCATATTTTGCTTTGCCTAGAGGAAAAGAGTAAGGCGCTAGTCACCAGCGCTATTCAACTCCCAAGCTATCTGCTTTGGAACCACTTTTCTCCCATAGCGCGCTACCCGGTCCGACGCCTAGGTATTCCGTCCTCCCATGTCTTGCCTATGTCCACCTACCTCCACTGGTGCATTATTTTTCCTTAAATGTCGCTACTCATCAGTCACAGGTCTTATTACATGTATCCTTGTGTTCCGCAGCGCTGCATGTTTTATTACCTGTTACTACATTGTGCCCTCGCCAGTGTCGCTACTATACTTGCCTACGCAATCCCGAACCTTTACACAGTATGATAAAATGACCCGTCACACATACAGTACAGTACTTCCCTTCCCCAGACCTTTGCTGGTGTCGGAGTCACTTTAGTCGCTATATCCTAGTCTTGGTGCAATCGATTCCGCTCTTGCCAAATCTCTTTGATCACGTGTCGCTTGACTTGCTTTAAGTGCGCGTCGCTAAAGTTCCCTCTTAAGTTTGACTTTCGCAACGTTGGGATCGCTATCGGTAGTCGAGCTATAATCTAGTCGCTATCAGGCATTTCACTTGCACTGTCTTACTTTATTCCTCGCTTTTGCTCCCTTTGATTTCTTCTCGCTGTCGCTAGTTGGACGTCGCATAGTGCTATCACATAAAACAGCTTGCATAGCGCTTCTCACTTATACGCACGTTTCTCTGTCGGAACTCACTTGTCGCTGATCGCTATAGCGCTACTCACCAGTTTTTGGTCTTAGGTCGCTATAGGTTATTAGTCCTTCGTGCTATCACTCCCCTTGCATATTAGTAGGGAGTTGCTTCAATAGCAGTCCTCTTGGGTCGAATACTACACTCGCGCCTATTTGGATAAGTAGCACTAGTTTCTAACCAGCCTAGTTGCTATTTCTCTTTCACAGTGTGGTATGGCGAGGTCCTTTTGGCTCCTCAGCAGTCAAAGAAGCGAGATGAATCCTGTTTGGAAGTGATGGCGACAGAACCTGGGGAGTGGTTGTTGGTGGCTGGGGGGTAGCTTCTGGAACTGCTGGTAGACGAGGCAGCTCATCATGGAGTACCGCACCAGAAGGCACAATGGAAGGTGGAATAGTGTATTCTGGAAATGCTGGTAGACGAGGCAGCTCATCATGGAGTACCGCACCAGAAGGCGCGATGGAAGGTGGAATAGTGGGTTCTGGAACCGCTGGTAGACGAGGCAGCTCATCATGGAGTACCGCACCATAAGGCACGGTGGAAGGTGGAATAGCGGGCTCTGAGAGTGCTCTGTTGTCGCTGTATGAGAAGTCTAAGCCTTGAAACAAATCAGCAAGCTTGTCATAGTATATGTAGTCTGAATTAGGGTCTTGTATAGGTAATGAATGGCCAAGAGCAGACACAGAATTAGGGTATTCGTATGATATATCATTCGAAGAAGGAAAGTAGGTATCACCACTATGATCAATGACATTCGGGACTGGCAGCGTGGCAAGCATACGTGAAAGTTCATCCATGCCAAGAACCGAGTCAAACTCATCAAAAAGACGCAGCTCAGACTCGGTGTGAAGGTGGTCATTGAACCATTCTCTGGTAGTTGTTGGAGTACCGATACCAGTACCTGGGTCAACATCGGGTATGGCTTGCAGTGTCCCTGGGAAGTCCTGAGTGGGCAGATGCATTACATGAAATGCATTACCAAGAATGCATTAATGGTAACACATTATGCATTACAAATGGAGAGATCTCCGCATTAGTAAATTCACTTAATGCATCATGAACTTGTACTGACCTCAGCCTGGGGTATATGATAAAGGTCAGTTGTGTGTCCTAGCACGTCCTCGTCGTCATGCATATTCCCGTTGTCGTCTTCACAGGTCCACTCTAAGTCATCTCCATCCTTGCTGACAGCTAGGGCCGTCGCTGATGCTTCTTCACTCACAAGTGATTGCATATTGTCATTGTGAGCTAGCGAACAGTGAGCAATCCCCCTGCCGGCGAGGACTTATGAAAATACATACCAACAGCATCTTTTGTGAAGTCTGCATAGGCAACTTGAACGTCCGAGAACCTAGTATAGAAGGCTGAGAAATCGGCACCTGTATCTGTTTCTGCAGAGGTTAAACAGTTGCTTATGTTTATAACTGGCATCGGAGGCTCCAGTAAAAGCCATGTGATTTGCACGACAGTCGAAATGTTCAGACAATGTGGGGCTCTGGAGAAATTAACATTGAGCGCACCTACAGGTAGTGCCGCTGTCTTGATCGATGGCTACACAATCCATGCATTGACCTTTTTACCAAAACATGTGGCACCTATCAAACAGCACGATGTGGTGTTCAAACTTGGGCTAGCCTCGCAGAACCCCATTTCGCTATAGGAGTCAAGCAGCCTAGAAGTCCACATCGCATCCATACATCACTTCCTCGCAAAGTCTCGACTCACTCAACTCTTCCATGTCACACTGGTGTCATGCATGGTATGTGATCCATACCATGACATATACACAACAGCAGTGACAGGGAAGGTAGAAGACACCTGACTGATTCCTATCACCAAGTTACCTTATCATTTTTCATTCATTTCTTAGCTAGTACTTTCACTTTCAAACTTCAGTCTTATTTTTTCTATGTATTTCTATTTTGTTCCATGAGATTCTATCTCTTTCTATTTTTCTAGGCACATTTAGCCACCAGACTTTTCCTCAAGCCACCAAACATGTTAGTAATCATGTCATGTGACTGGGAAATACTCTGATTTGTAAGGATTTAACTTGACTCATCATGTTTGGTCATGATTCGTCATGCTTTGTAAAACTTGCAACTGTATTTGTAATCCACTTTGTCATAAGGCTGATTCAGCACACCTAAGGACTTGGTTTGTGAGCACATTTTTACCAATCCATGTGATGACTCATGCTTTTCATTTTTTATTCTTTGTAATACTACACTTCATTTTGTATGTACATTAGTAAACAAGCTGACTCAACACAAGTTTGTAAGCACATTCTTACCAATCTATGTGATGAATCATGCTTAGTAAGATGGCCTCCTAAAAGGTATAAAAGGAGCCCATTTTCACCCATGCAATTTAAGCTTCCCACTTTAACTCTTTTCTCAAACTGTGTGAGAACCAGTAAGATCTAAGTGCAGGCCATTCAGCAGCCTTGAAGTTAAGAATAAGAAACATATATTCAAGTTATATACTACCTTACAGGGGTTGACTATATAACAAAGTACAGCTACCTAGCTAAAGTTCATCAGCACTACTTTCCTCTCTCTTTTTCAGGAAGGGAGACACGAATCACGAGACATACTTCATGAATCCACGGGCACACACTTGCCAAAACACGTACAAACTTCACACTCAGTATTTCGAGACCACGAGGTTTAAACTAACCAAGGAACAAGAAGGAGAATATTGAAAGACATTCCTCCCAGGAACTCAGCACATTATCTACCACGAAAACTAGAAAAGTCGTAGACCGTGTACTTAAGGACTGGCAAGAAGTCTTATCCTGTATAGTTGTGTTGTCACTATATACGCGTCGTATATAAGACCCTTAAGTAACAAGACACCGGTGAGGGCGAGGAATGATAGCTGTGTGCTAGGGGGAAGAGTGGGAAGTGGGCTCTCAAGTGCTCCTCTGGATACGAGTGGAAAGTCGTCCCAAGGGGATTGCTTCTGAGAAAGATTCCTCTAGTGAATGGTGAGGGGGATCTATAACCAGCGATTCGGTCTCGAAGTCTGAATGGGACACTGAGGCAAATAATGCACCCAAAAGCGATGTGCGCTAGCTAAAGGCGCCTAAACGCGCTAATAAGGTGGAAAGTGCGGAAAAGCGCGCTTCAAATGTCCAAAGCGCACTTTGTGCGATCACAATGGAGTGCTTTGAGTAGAGATGACAATCAAATGGGGAATCAGGACTTTGATAGATGTAGAAATAGACACTTAAAGGTGTCAAAGCGCCAAAAGGAAGGAAAACCGGTGTATTCAGATAGAAACTCGAGCTATACTCTTCGATGGTAGTGGAGTGGAAGTAAGTGACCGGAAAACAAACATGGTGACGTGTAGGTATGCTAAGTGAGTTCCCATGGCTCGGAGCCGAATAGGAAGTACTAAGGTAAATGGTGAGGTAAGTCAGGGTCCATAACAAGATATGATGATAAGTACTAGTGCCTGCGTGACGGAGTATGAGTTCTGAAGAAGGGAAAACGCACCAATGGACCTCGGAGGACTGGGACGGGACATGCGGAGGACAGGCGACGGATCCTAGGGAAATGCGACGAAGTGCACCGTAACGCGCTCGAACGCACTTGAACGTGTTGGTACGCGCCAAAGTGCGCGTTACGTGGAAGTCGTATTAGAAGCGCGTTGTAAGGATATCGAGTGCGTCGTGAAAAGCCGTGAATTTGGCCCATATGAGCCTGGAGAAATGTGAATCTCTACACCGGACCATGTAAAGTATTAAAATTTTCGTCAATTTTTTTAAAAAAACTTAGGCTTAAACAGCTGCTGTTCGTGTTTGTCGTAGGTGAGGGCTCACCCAAGGTTAGCGACCATGTTGCACGACCACTTGTGTGATGATAGTGATGATAGTGTTAGAAAATTATGGGCAATGCACATATGCAAAACCTGGCGCGATCACAATCTTATGAGTGAGCTTGAAGCGATTTTCCAGTATGGTGCACTAAAAAACTGGAGAACTTGGGGCCATAAGTAGCCTCGTCATGATATTGCTGGAACAGAGCCATAGACAGGATGTGTATGCGGGCAATAAGATCCTTAAGCGTGGGCTCCGTCATTCTACAGACAGACCATCCATTGTGTTGTCTCCATTAGTGAGCTCGCGAGGGTACCAGGAGCATAGGAGATAGATAATCAGATTCAAGCGCCGGGAGTGACTCATGCACTGATACTGATGTCGAGGAAGGCAGTCATGACTCGTAGGGAGCATTCTTGCTGCAACAGAGGCAAACTACCTTGTGCATTGGGTGTCTATAGAAATTAGTTAGGTTGGCATGGTGAAGCAACATATACACACACCTCTGCAGCTTAGAGAAAGACACTGAGAAAGACAACACTACTTCGAGTTTTTGAAGATCATGAGGGGACCATAAGGACAGTCGCAGTTTTGCTCAATAAGCGACAAATGGTTACGGGCTCAAGCGACAGGACACTTCATTTTTGGGACTTGAAGACAGGCGTTGTGTTGAAGAAGATGGAGTAGTACTGGCAAGAGTGGATGAGATGGGGCGGGTGAGGGGATTTGCAGGCAGTAGTGTTGGTGTTGGAATGTGGACAGGTGTAAACATGTAAGCTCCAAATACCTTATCAAAACACGCACCTCGGCAGCTTAGAGCAAGACACCCATAATCCCTTCAAGGTCCACCTTGACCACACCTAATGCCATCGACCTCCAGTAAAATGTCAGAGCTCGTTCCAATCACTACACCCCTGCAAGAATTCAAACTTGAAGGTCAGTAAGGGCAGTCGCAGTTTTCCCTGATAAATGGCGGATGGTTACAGCCTCACTTGACAAGTATCAGAGAGAGAAGAGCCAAGGTGAGACAAGACGACGATCGACAACCACTACGACTATCAGAGTGTTAGTACAACACTTTGAGCTATACCTATCAAAACAGACGAGCGCAAGACTAAAGAAGAGAAAAGGGGGAAACGCGCACTGTCATATCCCGTATTCTGGACCTACGTCCGATGATGTTCCCACGCCTTCTGGACACCTTCCGGATGCACATCTGGACCTCCATACCCTTATCCATGACTCCATACCCTTATCCATGCCTGCAGTCCTCCAGTCCACTATCGGTTCGGATCCGTACACCTTCATACATCCATATATCCATACCTTCGGACCTCCGCAGCTAAGCCTGCTTCATCCACCCTTGATCCCATCGGATCCGAGCTCATCCTACCTGAGACTTTACCTTCCCTAGACTACCGGATGATATCCATGATCTATATCCTAGTCTCGTCTTCACCTAGATCTCCGGATCTGCTCATCCGATATCCAGACGCCTCATCCGATATCTCTAGACCTCTGGATCCAACCTATACTCATATCCGAAGCTCAAACCTTAAATCAGCATCTATCTCCTTATGGTAATCCTCTTGACTCCGGACTTCGGTTATCTGTGTTTCCGTCTTGCTTATTGATCCTTGTACTTTGTTCATCTCCAAGTTCATTTGTTTATGTTCCGTTCATACTTACCAATATGTTTCCACATGCTCGTACATAGCATTTGTCTTCAGCTTACTGATCCTCTCGGATCCCGTCCAGTATATAAACCTCTGTACAACTCCTGTAAAGTTTCCTTAGTTCGAATATCATCTTAGATTCTGCTCAACATAGACTTGCTCTCTCGCATCCTAGACTTCACTCATTCTGATCTCGGACTTCGGTCCATCTTAGTATTGCCTTTCCTTAGGCCTAGGGAAGGATTCCCTAGGCCAACCTTCCGGTCCTCTGGATTTATCCTTCCGTCTATATCCATGCTTAGGGATTGACTCCCTAAGCCAAAGCTTTGCCTTTCCGGCACTTCCTGTCTTTCCGAGACTTCTGTCTAAACCCTGTCTATCCGACTCTACCATAGTGTAGTCTACCTCCGTCTGTTTCTACTCCGGACCTTGTCCGTTGTAGCCCTTCTTCTCTTGTCCTAGAATCCTGTCCGCTCCTCCGGTCCTCCGGACGTCATAACCTTCGGACGTCGCAACCTTCGGATGTCGCAACCTTCGGACGACGCAACCTTCGGACGTCTTAACCTTCGGACCTCCGGACGTCCTGTCCTTCGGACCACTCCTCCTACCCTATCCTGCTTTGGACTCTGTCCCTTGCAGCCTATCTTCTATGTGTTTCCATCTAGGGAGCTTACCTTCGGATCTAATGCAGTGGGTGAAACTCTTCCAGAGTTTCCTATACTCATCCGAAAGTTTCCCACACTCATCCGGAAGTCCTCCAGCACTCAACCAGAGTAGCCAGCCTCCGGAAGTCCTTTGGACTTCGTCAGATTCCATCTGGACTTCATTCTGAAATTAAGGGCACGTACTCGGGTAAGGGGCACAGCGCACGAGCTGAGGCCAAGCCCTTCGGATCCGTCTACCCTTGAGCTATGGTCTTAACACGTGCGCATGATAACTAGTAGGGAATACCAAAAAGGAAACTCAAAACTTTGTTCATCAAGGCACTTCATCTGTGGGACTTGAAGACAGGTGGTGTTGAAGAAGATGGAGGGGCATAGCAGGCAGGTGTGGGCAGTGGTATCACAAAATAGGCAATTGATAGCC